GGAAATTGGTAAATGGATGAGTAAATCTTTAATAAAAATTAGGCAAGATCATCGACAGCCTACGGACTACCGATAAGAGTAATAATCAATTTTAAGTATGGAGAAACATACAAACAAGCGAAATTCATTTGCATGTAGCTCAAAAAAGTAAATGACAGATTCTAGAATACCGTTAAGAATTCATTTGAATTTTCTCAAAAGATCCAGAACATTGGATTAATGGGGTCGTAACTATTGGTGAATTTCGATGTACAATCCATGTACACATACATCTCAGGTGAAAAGGCGGTAAGCGCCTTGCTGGAGATATTGGAGCGAGAAGAGGATATCCTGGAGGCAGAACGGATAAGGAAGGAATCGCCAACACGATTGATCAACCTGACAGTAAGGATCACATATTGTACATATAACGGTAGTATCTACGAGCAAATATTTGGACTACCGATGCGATCTCCATTCTCAGCTCTTTTCGCAAATGTATACATTGACAAGTTGGAAAGGGAATTCGAGAAGTCACCAGCTCAACCAAGAGTGCTCATGCAATACTTGGATCACTACTTTGCACTTTGGTCACATGGTAAGGAAAATTAAAATGAATTCCTCAATTTTATTAGCCAACATTTACTATGGAGGTGGTGGAAGATGAACGACTACTCTTTCTGGATATTGAAGTCATGCTCTCCAACGGGACACTGAGGAGGAGACTATAGAGACATACTATACTGAAACAGAGTTCTGGGACGAGGAATTGGACAAACTGACACGGTTTTGCCTTAGTAACGGGAACCTCAGAGAATTTATAGTAAAAAATGTAGAGATTATCAAGCGCAGATTTCAATTCGGATTGTATGAAAATTCGATCAGGAATCAGGACGGCCAAAAGTGGATTTGCTTGCCTTAATCAGATCTGAGCCATCAGTTGCGACATTTACTAAGTAAATGGAATATAAAGGTGATAACAAAGGAGAAGACAACACTTTTCACTATTTTGTCGACGCAATACGAGAAGACTGACAAACTTGATTGCTTGGGAGTTTATCGCATCAAATGCGGCAACTGTGAACAGAAGTATATTGGCGAAACAGGAAAAAAAATCGGCCTACGAATCAAGGAACATCAAAGACTCTGCAAGAACATGGATATGGAAAGATCCGAAACACATTGCACGAAGGGGACACGAAATCGACTAGAAATCGACCGAAAGGCAGGCTGCATATGGTGAAAATAAGAGAAAACGCAAGATCCGAGAGGCCATCGATATACTGGGTGAGAGAAATCTGATGAAAAAAAGACTTAAAGAAGGCACGCTTAGCGAAAACTTTGAATATTGATTAAACAAACTCGGAGGAGACCGGGCAACAGTCTGATCAGCAAAAAGAAGACGATGGGATCAAGCTATTATCTTTAATTTAAGTAAAAGAAATCGCAGGGGGCACAGAAAGGAACAATCAGAAACCAAGAGGAGACGTCTTCAGTAAGCCTAATTTAAACAAGTAGAACCACATCACTTGTTGGTTGGCACACAAGAGCTAGGACATGGGATAGAAACAGGATAGACGCATTGGTCACTAGATCTATTTGGTTGATCATACACGTGACCCATGAAACACGTCTATTTTTAGTCAACTAGCAATAGCCTCGACTACATCTATCCTGTTTCTATCTGTAATACCAAGTCTATGACTTGCTATGCCATAGTCTCTTGTGTTGTGGTTCGACATTGAAGCTAATCAAAGCAAGCAGTACCACAACATTTGTGGGTTGGCACACAAGAGACTAGGGCAGAAGAATTCATAGACTTGGTATTACGGATAGAAACAGGATAGACGCGGCGGGGACTGGAGGTAGTTGGCTGAATGTAGGCTTTACTAGAGACGTGGTCCAAGTAGCAATGGCTTGCCCATGAGACATTTTCAAAGACTTTAGCCTCGAATTAGCCACTAAGAAGCAGGGGAGGGGTATAAATCGCATCGAGTAACACAGATCGGGTGACAGAGGTCGAGTAAAATATTTTAACCAGGCAGATAGCAGACGGATTATACGAGGCAAGAGGGACACTCTGATAAGACCTAGGGAAGGAGGGTTGCGTAACAATATGGCAGACTCTGATCAACATTCCCAGCACAAGGATGAAAAGGGGGTGAGAACGCCAGTGTGGAGTGTGGAGGGTTTTCATGAATGCTGCTTAAAGGAGCACATCCGACTACATCTAAATAAGCACGGTAAAAATTATAACAGTGAAGGCGTAATACGAGGACATATGAAATCTGAATATCCCAGAGCAGCAGGAGTGATACCACAAGTGTTTAGCACACGTTTGGTCAAATGATCGGCTTCACTTGTCTCTTTGACGAGTTATAGTATGGTGCTGAGAATGGCGGGGAAACGACTGTAGATGTATCACGTCCACGGTTCGACTTTGGAAATTATCATGCATAAAATGGACTCCGGACTAGGTGCGTTCCTCTAAGTCTTCCTACAAATATGCGAAAACAAGATTTTAAAAAATGGAGTGTTACAGAGTTTATAGCATAAACTGCAAGGACAGTAAACAAAAAATAAATAGGAGAGACGGGAAGGACAATCAGCACAATGATCAAAGAACACCAGTA